AGAGGTATGTTATCTCAACATAGCAACTTTGTTCATGAGCATTTCTCACTGGAGTTAAGGAGGTGTGGAAAGACTAGGCTTCGTTAGCTAATGATGGTCCCAAATTCATTTTCTTCTCTAGCTCTCCATACTATGTATTGCCATTCTTGTGATCTCAAGTATTCACCCTTTTATGGACACTGTACGGTACTTGCGGAACAGAAAGAATAAGTGTAACTCTAGATATAGCCAACAGACAATCTGAACAGTCCTTGCTTTGGGACTCTGTTTCCTTATTTATAAAATGACTTCTACTTTTTCTTTGTGGCCATAAAATTCCAAGATTAGTTCCATGTTGATGCTTGTGTTTCTTATTCCTTCGAGTCTCAATACTGGTTATGCCACAATGATGTTAGTAGCTTCCCCTTTACTGATTGTGTGCTGAGTTCTGGTGACAGTTCTGGGGGATACTGCTTATCATAGTGTTCCTGCTTCAACATGCCAACAGCAGAAAGCTGTCATACAAACTGATCTTTCAGTAACACTCTTTTCTCTACTGGGCATCATAAACCATACACTTTTATCTCTATACTGAGCATTTTCCATCACCAAGCAAATATAGTTCACTAAAAATTTCTAAAAATTTGAGGCTAGCCTGGTCTATAATGTGAGTTTCAGGTCAGCCAAAGCTATATAAAGGGACCCTGCCTCAAACTAAAACCCTAACCCAAATCAAACAAAAATGAACAAAAACAAGAAGTTCCTTCTGTTGATTTCATTTCTCCCAGCCCCCTCCCCGCACTGTGTCCTCTAATCTCTCTACTCCTTATTAAAAAGGTCCTCAAAATAATTCTTCATCCACTGTGTCCAATCTTGATCCTACTTCCTTTTTATTGTTTCTGAAAGGTAATTCACATACCATAAAATTTAGTATTTTAAAGGGTATACGTTTCTAATGTTTCAGCACACTGGTCATGTCACATAACCAGTGTCACCACTTCTAGGACACTTTTACCATTTCCCAGAGAAAGCCTATATTCATTATCCCTGACTATACTCCAGTTCATTCCCTTTGTCAGCTCTGGATGACTACTAATCTATGTTCTATCTATATGGATTTGCCTCTTCTGGACATTTTCTGTAAATGTAACCATATGATACTTCCCCTCTTGTGTTTAGCATCTTTCACTTAATGCTTGTGAGCTTGATCCATGTTTTAGCATTTATCAAAACTTTATTTCTACTTTTGAGTATTATTTCATGATATTGATAGATTGTATTATGCATGCCCACTTATCACTCAATGGACATTTCTTGGCTATTATGAAGAGTGGTGCCATGAACACTTATGAATCTATCCAGTTTTCAACTGCAGGATCTTCTTCCTTTCAAATAAACACCAATCTCCACAATCCAAAACAGAATGGTAGATTCTCAGGACCAACTTACTTGTTAATATGTCATATACTTTCATTTTTTTTCTGGGAATGCTGGACATTGTTCCCCGGGGTTATGTGTGTATGAAGCAGGTCACTTATCATTCTGCTCTCACTCAGCCCCTTTTTCCTTCTTGAATAACCTGTTTTACATAGCAATGGGGGCCTGAATACATCCCCCAGTTTTGTAAATTGAAATATTATCAGCCTGCTTTTATTTTAACATCTTCAGATTTTATGCGTATATAGGTTTCTTACTATGTATGTCTGTGTACTATTTGCATGCCTGACACACATGGAGGCTGGAAGAGGGCATCAGATACCTTAGAACTGAAGTTAAGGGTGGTTGTGTGCTGCCATGCAGGGTTGGGAATTGAGCTCAGGTTCTCTGAAAGGGCAACTAATGACTTTAACCATTGAGCCATCTCTCCAATTTGAAGAGGTTGTGGTCTTTAGTAGACCATGAGGCCATGAGGGCTCTGCCTCCATAATAATTAATATTTGGGATTTTATGAAAGAGTTGTCTGGAAGTCATCTACTTCTTTTCCTCCCTCCTTCTGCCATGTGATGTCACACAGTTAGTGGTAGCATCATGTAAACAGAGAGTACTCCATACCATACACTGATTCTTAGACTTTCTAGTCCTTAACAAGGTGTCTTAGTGAGTAGAAGAAACACTTGCTGCACAGGCCTTGTGGCCTGACTATCATCCCTAGAATCCCTATAAAGGTAGAAGAAGAGTGCAAACTCCACAAAGTTGTTCTCTGACACACATGATACTGCATAAGTACATTTACACACACACACACACACACACACACACACGCACACACACGTTTCTATTGTTTGTTTAAGAGTACCAATGGGCTGGACTAAGACAATTGGCTTCCCAGACATGTTGCTTCCCTAGTTCACTGGCCCTCTTTTCTCAGTCTCTTTTGCCCCTTTTTCTTAAGCTAACTATGAAGTGCATGAAGATCATTCTGTTGCTATCTTTTCTTAGTCTATACTCACTTTTCTGGATATCTCATCTGTTTCACGGATTTAAATACATTTTAAACTTGGTTGATTCCAAATGTGGATCCCTAGCTTCTCTTCAATTCCAGACTTATGTATTTAAATGTTCAACTAATTGTCAGAAATTGAATTTCTAGTCTCTTACCTTACAATACTTCTTGTATAATGTTTCTTTCTAAGAATAGAAATCCCTATATTCTGTTGCTTAGGACAAAAGCCTTGAAGTTGTCTTTGACTCACTTCCTCACAAATCCTATATAACTTTGTCATTAAATATTGATCATTCTTATTTTCACAATGTATATAGAATTTTTGACACATCTTTACATTAATCTATCAATGTCTGTCTATCTATCTATCTATCTATCTATCTATCTATCACCTATCTACCTACTTCATCGGGGGGGGGGGGAGTCAAAGAACAACTTGTTGGGGTCAGTTCTCTCCATCCACCAGGTAGGTTCCTGGGATCAAACTCAAGTTATCAGACTTGGAGGCAAGCACTGTTACCTGTTGAGCCATCTTACTAGTTCAAGTTTATTAATACATTTTATACCATATTCACAAATGTATGTATACACGTATATATATATATGTATATATATGTATACATATATCTATTTGTCATATAACATCACTATTTGAAATTCTATACAACTTATGGTCCTCCAGTATAATGTAATCTCCGTGAATATATGGAACTTTATCTTTTTTGTTAATGGTTATATCGACACACCTAGCGGGTATGTTCAGTCTGTGTCCTACAGGGTGTGTGTATCTCAGGATAGTTATAAGAGAAAACCAACACAAAATCAACTTAATTAAAACATTATGAAATGTTTGTGAGTCTTTTGGAAGTTGATTTCATAGTTCTTATGTGTGAACTTAGTAGATGACATCATTCTGCCTCAGTATTAAAGGTTAGACATGCCTAAAACATTTTGTAGTACATAGTAACAGATATTAATTGAACAAATGAAAAGGAAACAGTTTATCTGGTTGTTTTGAAAACTAGTTAACATGTCAACTATATTTTTGGAGGACTGAATTTAACAGGCAGGTTTCAAGATAGTTTTTCCTAATTTTAACTGCATTGCATTCTGGAGTGACACTTATTTTATTAGAAATTAATTTTCCTAAATGAAAAGTATTTAAAGTATGGCTTCTTGACTTGGGATACTTGTATTTGAGTTCTGGATAGCTAGGTGAATCAGGACCTGTTAATATTCATATCTTAGTTACTTATCTGTAAAATGGGAGTGCTAGGATCACATATCCCACATTGTTAGAAAGAGAGCCAAATAAAATAACGTACAATAATTAGCAAACAGGATATCTAGCAGCAAGTGGATTCTTAGAGGACATCAGCTTTTGTTGGTCTTATTAAGATGTAAGAGAATTTAAAGAAAAAAAAAACATCTCCCTTCCCCACAAACAGAGAAAGTCCTTCAACAGAAACTACTGAATCCATTTCTCCAAGTGAAACTGGAGTAGCTATTCGGATCTTTTGTATAAATGACGTTTCTTTGGGAAAGTTCCAAAGTTTGAAGGACAGTTGCTTTGTTCTTTTCTTCAGGAAGTTTTGTGGCCCTAGACTCATTCTCTTCAGTTAGTCTAATGCTGCACAAGAATAGTCACACCTGAAGCACATCACACTTAGTATCTCCACTTCTTCAGGGTTTAAAGCCTTCAACTTGACTGAAACCCCAGGATCTGAGTGCTGACTCTAGGGATTATCCTCACAGGGTATACTGTTAGAAACTAGGCAGTTTTCTTTGTGGGGAAGTGCTTCCCGAGGGCTGAAAGTCTGGCTTGCTGAGTGGATTGACTTGGAAACAAGGTAAGGGCAATGGTCTTTATTTCCATGCCATGGTACTTCCTCGAAGCTTGCTGTCAGATATACTTTGTGTTAGTTCCCAGTGAAATGAAGTTATAACAGAATTAACTAGTCTGTAACTGCCATTGCATGCTAGGTTCCACTTGTGCAGGGACACCAAGGAAGCCTGAGGTTGCACTGAAGCTCTTGGCTCCACATTTCACTTAAGCAGAGCTGCTAGGCAGCATGTGCTCTGTGGAATTTTACATTTGCCTTTCAAGGTCCACTTCTTCCATTCTAACTTCACCCTTATCTCTCACAGCAACAGATATGGAGTTGAGCTGGGCACCGACTTGTTTATTCATCCATTAAACCCCACAGAGATCAGTAAATATTTGTTAAATCACACTGTTACTTTACTGCTTCAGCAGCATCCTTTAGTTTTGTTATTTAGATACAATTTTACCTTGTCTTCCCAGGGATGCAGTAAATTTTTTTTGTGTGTATGGACTTTACACCTCTTTTCTGTCTCCTGCAGTGTTATACTCTACTACTTAGGAAAAATGGGTCCCACCCTAGGAGTTGGGTAAAATTTTCTTTTTGATGACTGACTTTTTATTTTTTATTTTTCTAACTGTGATTGTTAGGAGAAAATAGTACACAACAGCCATAAGTCATCAAACAATGTGCTTACTGGAATTCTGTTTCAAATAAAAACCCAACAAAGGCTGAGTTGGAAATTAGAAACTTACTCATAAACAGTTGTCCATCCATTTTCATTACTTTTTGTTGCTAGAAGTCCCGTGTTTCCTGGGTAGGTCATCAAGGCCAAATTGTACCCTTGGGCTGACACTCTTTTCAGGACTCCATTGCTGCTTATGGTCAGCCAGTAGACTTGCCCGCCAGGCACCACAAGCCATAGGGGCATCCCGCCTGCATCCCGGCGAATATGAACTGAATTGCCATTGCTACTAGTGATTGCACCCAAATCACCTTCAGCGTTGTAGGTGAAGTTATATACATAGTCCCTTGTTATCAAGTTCATGGTATGGAGGTGGGTTCCATTGACAGTGAACTGGTAGAGTTCTTGGTCAGCAGGTGAGGCAATCTCATAAAGGTTCATATCATTTAGGTGAGCTTGGTTTCTGCTGATGGTACGAATTCGAACATTGCCAAGATCTGCTACATAGAGGGTACCATCTGGTGACACTGCTAAGGAGGAAGGGGCTTTCATCTTTGCATCTTTGGCATAACCACCATCACCTATGGGGAGAAATGACCAAATTTAAATAATTGGCACCAAAAGAATTTGAGTGAGTATACCTTAGATTTAAAGCAACACACATCAAAAATAATTTTAAAAAAAAAAGATGCAATCATGGAAACCATCATTCTTTGCATGCCCCCTGATGATTCTGAAACCGATCAGTCCAAAGATTGCAATTCTTGAGTCAGTATCACTAAAGATGAACAGTAAGATGTAATTATCTCAGTTACACCAATTTTGTGAATTCCTAAATCCTGCTGTTCGGAATCTATTGTATTGCAAGATACAAGAACAGCAAATAATGATAGTCACACAAAATTTGCCTGCCAGGCTGTAAGTCTCATTCCTGTTGCTTCTTGCAGGACTCATTTTAGAATCTTCCAGTCCTACTATGCTTAGAGGTCATTTCTTCTGTTGATTTCTGTTGTTCTGCTGACAAAGTATACTAAATCTGTAGGTGTAACAATAACTCCAAATACCAAAGCTGGTAACTGAGATAAATACTAGAGTTACCTTCCAAGAAAGATATAAATTGCTAAAACATCTATATATTGCATTGTCCAGGAAAATACTGGAAATATTGAACAAAATTATGTTGACCAACTTGCTGGCTCAATGAAACACAAACCTTATACGGGCTAGTCATTCCTGGATGAGTCGCTTAATAGGTTTGCATGTAGCATGGAGGGATTCCCATTTCTCAGACATGAGCAGAACAATTGATATTTAGAGTTCTGTTTGATATCCAGAATAACTATTCCATGTTTGTGGAAAAGACTCTTCTTTTCCTCCCCCATTTCAGTTAAAATGGCACTCTTGTTTATGGGATTTTAGAGCTTTGAAAATCAAGTAATGCAGAAGACTGATGCTGTAAGAATTTGCCATTTGTGGAATTGAATTTTGCCTGTGCATTCTCAAAGCAGTCTATTTGGGGTCCTTTAAAAGGTCTAATAGAGCATGCTTTAATCGGGAAAGCAGTCACTTAGAGTATTTTTTTTTCTTAATAAAATCAGCAAATATATATTTAAACCTATATTCCTTTCTCTAAAATCAAAATAATGGAATGATCTTAAATTTGTGTGATGCTAACTATTTTGAGAATCTGAAAAGTTATTACATCTGTTTATCCCAAGACCAGCAAGGTGACATGATGGAGAAATATACTTATCTCTATGTAACAAGTAAGGCAGATGGATTGTGAAAAGGTTTTGTGGCTTTTCTGGGTCACTCAGTCAGCTGTCAGAGCTAACTCCCAATACATTGCTTTCTCCACTAGCGCACACAATTGTTTATATGAATTCCTTTTGTTTTCCTTTAGGCTTTACTGATGCAGGTTTTGCTTTTGAAAACAGAAAGGGGGAGCTGGTGAATTGCTAAAAAGGTCATACCTGAAAAACAGTCACAGTTGGGATCAATTTTGCAGTCGCAGTCAGTGGGGGCACCGGCTATGATGGAAATCTCCCCATTGGTGGTCACTTGCTGAATGCGGTTCACTTTCCTCTCGTCTGTTTCAGCGATGAAGAGCAGCCCGCTGTGGGAGACGCTGATGGCCCTAGCTGACTCCAGAGTGGAGTGAATAGCTACTTTGCTGACCAAGAAATGATCGATGCCGGGCACCTGGCAGTGAATGGGACGCCCTGCAATGATCCGCACGCGCCGGTTCTCAGAAATTTGCAGCACGATGTTGTTATCCAGGATATACAATGAGTTGTCCATGGGATTGACTGTAAGGTCTGTTGGCCACTCTAATCGCACCTACAGAAAGAACAGAACACACATCCTAAGTTACCACATCTTTCTAGAGACAATTTTAACATAAAAATAATGAACAGCACATTGTTTCAGTACTATTACTGAATTTAGCAACATTGATGCTGTCTGGCAATGAGGGATGGATAGGCAATCACACAGCTTGCTAAGCCCATTTATCATTTATGCTATTTCCAACCCAATATAAATTATTTTCCATAGTCCCAGAAGTATCTTCTGGATAAGTGGTTTTCACGGTGTGGTCTTTGGACCAACAACCATAGCATCACTTGGGACACGATTAGAAATATATATTTTGAGGCTTCATCCCAGACTCATTATATCATAATCCCTAAGAATGGAGACTCAACCATCTATGTTTTTACAAATCTGCTAGATGATTCTGAAGGCTATTGCTGTAGGACTTCTGGATCAATAATCCCCACCCCCAAAATCTCTTATTGTTTTGCATATGCATATAAAAGCAAAGTCCTAAAGATTTTGGGGCATTAAAGTAATGGGGAAATCAGATTTTACTCAATCAACAGCCTTTGTGGACAGGGCATGCCATTTAGCATAGGCCTGGTATCCATCCTATGTATCATTCAGGTATTATCCTCTAGCTATTGATTTGCAGTCATAGGCGGGAACACACTTCTTGCCTAGCTATATCTTGATTACTTCTTGGGTCTTCTATCTTGGCAAATAAATGGGTTGGTTTATGATTTCCCTGAACGTATGTTGAGAACATTCTCTGGACTAAGCCTTGTGTTAAGCTTTAGGGATTAAAACAAATTATTCCATGACATAAATCTATGCCCTCAAGTAATTTTTTGGTCTGGTAGAGCCTTTGAAAGCATGATTAGCTCTCCATGTTGTGAGAATGAAGCAATAGAAAGGGTATGAGAGTACTTCACATAGATGTGGAATCAGGATATTAATAGACAAGATGATATGTAAGCCAAGGGTGAAATGACCAGTGAGAGAAGTCTGGTATGAATCCGAGGACGATTTGGGTAGAGCAAATGGCATGGGTAAGTGCCTAAACATCTTAGATGGCATGACTCATCTTGGCTAGAATAAATATTTTAGTAAGGTTAATATAGTTTCAGTGTGTGGAAATAATAAGTGATGGCAACTAGGAGGTAGGCAGTGACTAGATATTACTGAGTAAAACTTGTCGTTTTAAAATTTATATCTTGTGATCCTAACCTTCAATGTGACTGTGTTTGATGCTAAGGTATTTAAAGAATAAATTATGATAGTTAAGACTCTAATCCAAATTGTACAGTGTGATTATGCTAATGGAGATGTTAGGACTGCATAAACTTAGAGGTTGTCTATATGTAGCAAGAAGATGAACATCTGAATGTAAAAAAGAGAGGTCTCAGGAGAAACCAATAGATGTGTCTTTGGTTTCTAGTGGCCAAAGATGTGAGAAAATACATTTTGTCTTTGAAGACACCTAACCTTTTCTAATTCGTTATGGCATTTCTGACAAAAAAAAAAAAAAAAAAAAAAAAAAATACAACAGCTAATGAAAGGAAAGACACAGTCACTTTTGTTCTTGTGGCTGGGGCTAGTCACCGAAGGGCTTTAAAGTAGAAGTATGCATAGTCATGTTTGGGTTTGTGATGAATCTTACTGGCTACTGTTGAGGCAATGTGGGACACAGAGATGAGCTAAGGCAGGCAGGAGGCTTCTGTGCTGGGCAGGTAAGGAGTTAAGATACATAAACTAGGAAGGCAATGGAGGACATTGGAAGTTCAGAGATTTGAGATATGATAGAGAGGAGCAAAACAATGCGTGTGTGTGTGTGTGTGTGTGTGTGTGTGTGTGTGTGTGTGTGTGTGTGTGCTTGTGTCTAGTGTGTCCTGTCCAAGTGCTGTGCTAGATGCTGGGGATATACAAACTAAACATGATTGCACTGTAGCTACTTTCTGGACGTGAGTTGGCTCAGTGCCTGCCCTGCCATTTCCAGATAGTGACGACTTTATCCCTAGGCACTTCTCAGAGAACTGTGCTCCGTGTTTCACTCCCCACATCACCACTCATTACTATCCATTTCTTTCCTTTCAGGCTAGACAAAGGCAGAAAAAAAATTCCTATTCAGGACTAAAATAGTGAAAGTAATGTAACTATTCTTTTTAGCTTTGAGTGAAAGCCGCTGGAAGTCTTTGTTTCTCTCATGGAATCTGAAAGTTTGGAAAGTAGATATGGGCTGTCACTGCATTTTGAGGGCCATTACTTCCTCAGCTGAAAGAGGCCTTATGTACATGGATTAACGAAGTGGGAAAAGGTCCAATCTGATGTCTGAGGTGAGAGCCTTTTTTCAATAATGGTGGGCGACTGGTGCTGCGAGGACACCAAAGGTTGCCTTTGGCTTCCCCTTATTATACCACACAAGGCCTTTTGCCCCCATGTCTGAGTGTCGCCCAAATACTCAGCAACCTCATTGTGTCCCCACATCTCTGTGTGCCCTCTACTTCCACCTCGACAAATGTTGGCCTTCTGTGGTCAGTACCATATGCCTCTGGGCAGCCAGGAGTTTTGAGTGCTAATGGGGTATAAAGCTCAGCTTGTAGTATGCATGTTCTACAAAGCCTTTCAGATTGAGGCCATTGGATAAACATTAAACACCAGCAGCAACAGCTCCCAGAACAGTTTGCGGTGATGTGTCCCTCAGCATGTCTGTCTGAGGCCTTTGCATGTCAGTGCACTGCCACCGAGAGACAGAGTGAATTCTGCTGCCACTGCTATTGCTGCTGTTGCTATTGTGGAGGGTTGACTCTTCCTTCACCCTGTGCCTCCACCTTGGACCTCTATATACACTATCAAACTTGTTCGGAAGCTGTCTGTGTGCTCTAGTCCTATGGAACATGGTCCCGTAGGAAATAAGTCAGGGCTGGCTGAGGAAGAGGAAATAAATTTATTTCAGTACAACACTCCTATTTTGATCGAGTCTGAAGTCAGTGACCCAGAAAAAAACAAAGCTGGCTGAAATGACGTACTAATTATCCCCACTCTGAGAGCCAAAGCCAGGGCAGAGGCTGGGGAATAGCATACACCTGGCAGAAGCTAGGGAAGGAACAATTTTAGCCTCTGGTCTCAGCTATCAAGGCTGCCTCTGAGATAAAGGCTGGCGGCAAGAAATCCAGCTGTGAAATTCTCCAACTCTCTCCACCCGATTTAGACCGATACTATTGGTGTCATGTTTATTAGATTTAATATTGCCTCAAAAATACACCAGACATTGTGTCTGTTTGTTTTCTTTCCCATCAAATGAGCCAGCCTCTGGCAGTTTTCTGTGACTAAAGTGGCCTTTGTGCTTTTGAGACACTTTCTATGCCAACTACACAGAATCCCTTTAATTCCCATTTGATTCAGCAGGGCAGCTTGTCTATGAGATCTGCTCAGATGAAAGATGTGTGCCTACTTAGTAGTCGAGGGGGCTGGTCGTTTTAGAGGACAGACCCTTTTCACTGCTTTTAGATTGTCAGTTCCTTTTATGTCATTCTTATGCTAAATACGTCCATTTCCAGGTAAAATTTCAAGGAACTAGTGCTTTATGCCCACAGTAGAAACACAGCATTTCCACCCTCCCCCAACCCCCAACATACATAGTGATGTTTTTGAGCTGATTCTGGCTGTCAGAAAGGAGCATCTATTAGTTGTGGAGAGATCCCAGCACTCTGAGCTACTTAAATGGATCTAAGGTTAACTTCCAGAAGGTGTTGCCATTTGTAAAATTATTTTTTAAAAGTGGGGGTTGCATGTGGTGGTAGATAAAAGCATATTCTTTTTGAAGTGGGAGTCAAAAGATATGCAAGAGCAGCAATGGAGGCTCTGTCAACTCTGCTTGCTGACCCAGCCTACAGGCAAACCATTATGTCTAATTTGTGGTGCTCGCCCCACCTTGTAAAAATATACTAATTTTTTCAAAATGTCAAAATGTGTTTAAGCTAAACTAGCATTAAAGGTCACTGTCATAGCCTCCAGCTGGTGGAATGGACCTTCCCTGAGAAATAACCCTGAGCATAAAGTAGCTCTTGGTTGGGATGTTGGCACGTGACAGCACTGTCTTCCTCTGCTAATTGAAAACTTGCCTTGAAGGAAGTTGACTCTCGGGTCAACCAGTCCTGTGGTTGGCTTAAAGTTCTAGCTAATTTTGACCTCAGTATCAGTGCAGAAGAGAGCAGGCTCCTATAGAGAAAAACCTATGTGTAAAAACAAATTCTAAACACGAGCCCTTTGATTATACAAAGTTCAAAATGCCCTCAGTTACAGGACTAACCGTACGAGGAAGAAGACATAGACCATCAGTTATATACTTGGTTTCCCTCTAACAATTTGACTCAGGGTTTCCTCCCTTAGTTCTGTGTGATGGTAGGAAAACTAGGCTATCTTGTATGAAGCTTTGATTTTCTTATCTGTAGCAAGGAAAACAGGTTAATTATCACGTGTGTGTGTGTGAATGTGTATACATGAAAAATGTTTTACTTATCATATAGACTAAATGATATGTGATGATGTGTGGTGCTCATCCTAGAACATGGCACACGGAAGGGGGTGCTAGGTGGTATTAATAATGACTTCATGGGCATGGACATTTATAGCTAGAGAAACCCAGTCCAGTCAATGTAGTTCTCTTTCAACATTTTTATAAACTTCATTTTTTCTGTGTAAGATTTTTCAACCCTGTGCCAACTATACTAGAGTTGACATACTATTTTTCTTTAAATTGACCTATTTCTTAAATATGAATATGCACTGCCAATTTCTTTGAATTGGTCTTGATCTATAACACTTCCAAAAGTGGAGAAATGCTAATCTGGGCTGTTAATAGAAGTACTGTTTATTGGGTCCTTCAAAGGTATCAGGTACTTTATATGGATTAGCACTTAATATACTTCAGAAAATAATTATCTGAGAACAATGGTCTCTAGTCCCAATTTCCCATGTTTCTGCCCTTCCTTAGTTCATAGTTATGCGATGGAAGACAGATA